TGCACTAACCTTAACATAGTCAAAACAAAAACAGTGCTTTTATTTATTTATTTTTTTACATGAACAAATGAGGTGAAAGCCAACATCCTTGGAGGATAACAAGCTCCTCCAACACAGCTGGAGTTATACAACCATGATTTATTTGAATCATCTAACCTCTTCTGCTCTTTTCTTTGTGCATGATCATAAAGATTTGAAATATATATATTTCTAATTTTGCCTATTTGCAAACAGATTTTGACTAACGTGGACGAGAGAAACATCCATGAAGAGCCTCAGGGCTAAACATCCTTTACTGCAAAGCCCCTTTCCCTTATCTGATTCCAGCAAATGGGACCAGCTGATGGCCATGCCAGCCATTGCCTTTGATTTTTTTAAGCATATCCCACTACTTTCACACTGCTTTATTGATTGCCGACAGACCTCATTTTGTTGCTCTGCTTCCACAATGCCCTATTTGTAATGTGATCACCCAGATGAGGAGGGCAAAGAGATGGACATATACTAATCCCCTCCTTCTCCCAGTCTCCAGCATCATCTCTAATGATTTCTTCTTCTTTTTCTTCATTTGTGTGTGTGTGGATTGCCTTTGTCAAGTTTTGTCATTGCCCGAGGCTCCATAGGTCAGGGTATAATCCACACTTAGGAGTTAATTTCTGTGTTCAACAATCGCCTCCATTTATTTATTTATTCGCCAAAGAAAAAGGGGTTAAATGACATTAAGCACGTTCAACAAAATTAGTCTGGTCAAGCCTTTTTAGTGACGTTGATTCTCAACCGTTTCTGACCAGAAGCTTAACGTTAAATGCGCTCATTGACTTCTGAGGACCTGACACATTCCTCCATGTTGAACAACACAACACAGCAGTGCAGAGTAGGGAGCATCTGCCTCGTCACTCCACCCAGATGGCAGCAGAAAGTATGTAAATTGGTTCATTAACCTTACAGTGCTTTAACCAGCGGGCCATGTAAAGGGCTCATTCAATCTTGGMTTTCTTGAATTTTATTAATGCCATTTAATAACATTGGGAAACTTTAGCTAATGGCCTGAGGTGGTTTTCTGCAGTGATATCAAGTGCTGTAGTAATTATACATGACATCCCTCTGATTAACACTTCTGTGATTATTACACCATGTTAAAATCCCATTTACTCCCTTTAAAAGACAGTTATCCATCTTCTCGGTTCAAAAACATTTAGAAGAAACATTATCACAGCATTCGTTCTCGCCTGACAAGTTGGCTTGGATATTTAACCCCAGACAAAAGAATGGCATGAAGAAGAAGAAAAAAGAAAGGGGGGGGGGGGGGGGGGTAAAATTTGAAAGGGATCTGCATTTTCATGTGGCGTTTCCCCCAGTGCGTGCAGCGTGTGTGAAAAATTGGCTTGTTGTGAGTGTCTGTGTGTGAGCTGCCAGCAATGAGGGCTTGCACCTGGAGCAGGGAGGAGCACGAGAAGAGGCCAAGGGTCACCTCGTGGGCTAAACAGGATTGGAGTTCTCCCTCTTTCCTAAGGAGGCCAGACGGCCCCCGCGGCTGCATCGCACAAGTGAGCCTTTCACGCCCCTTCCTTCCTTTTCCCTTCTCTCCTTCCTCTCCTGGTCACCTCTTTTTTGCTTTTCTCCTTCGGAAAGGCACAGTAATCCATAACCCACTCAACTATCAGCGGCTCAATTATCCCTCCGGTTCCCCTATTTTCTCCCCTCGGATGAAGATTCAAAAACAATTAACCTCTTCACRGCTGGGGACTTTTCCTAGGAAAGGGCACGGTTGTAATTGAATGACTCCCACCATTTACATTCCTGACCATGACTTCACTCCTTCACGCATAAATCTGGTTAACAAAATCCTAATATGTGGCTTTGTGATCGTTCTGTGTTGTTATCAAGGATTTTGTATTATCAAGCTTTGAAGACAGTTTTACTTCACGCAGGAATTAACCACATAAATTGCTGTTAACATTTTCAAAAACACTCTGGTGACCTAAATCCTAATTGTTTATTTTCGGACCACATGTTTAAGTATAGGTGATGTTCTGGAGAGCAAATCCACTGAGTAAGCAAAACCCCAGCCTGTAAAAGCCAGTAGACAGCAGTTTTCTGAAAATGGCACAACTAGACTACTTCACACCAAGTGTCTATAAGCCATAACGCATCCCCCACATCTTCAGCCTTCAATAAAATGTACTCTTCTCCTTCGATACGGAGGGGCCTCCTATTCATCTCCAGGTAAACAGCCTCAAAGTCTAGGAGGGAGGAACAGCTTGTTGCACCCATTGAGSTTTTTATTACTTCCCTTTCAAAGGGTAGTGGCAGGAGGAGAGACAACCTCAAACCTCTGCGATGACGTGATACAAAAAGAGTAAAAAAATAAAATAAAATAAATTAAAATAAAACAAACAAGAAGGGAGGATTTCAACTGAAGCTCTGTGCAGATTTTGCCACCACTCGGTCATCAAAACATCCTATTTGAGCAGATTACTTTGTTGTCCATGCACAGCGAGAGCCCGTCCAGCTGTTAGGGGATAATCCTCAAACAAACAAGTTTATCAAAAATGGACACATTTGAGGAAAACAACTGGCAGCACATCAAAAAAAACCTTATTTGATAGGACCAGCAAAATGTCTACCAAAAGACTCTACCCGGCCATTTTATATAAGCTCGATGAATACGTAGCTAGCCTGGCAGAAATAAAATGATGTAATCCACAACCAACGTGCATTGAGAAAACAAAGAGAGGTTAAAATGGGAAACAATGCTGGCGACTATATCGGCAAAGAAAAACAAACGAAAAAAAAATGCAATATTGCYAACTTTCATTCAAATTTTTAGACAAATCTTTCATACTGGAACGCCATACGATCTTTATCAGCAACTTCCAAGACGCGATATGAGCGCTAAGGAACATCATGAACAAAGCCTTCACGCCGAGTCGGAATGATCAAAAAGTTAAATACTTTTGTTTATTTTTGAAATTTTAACAGCGTTGCTAGTGTTTGCAAAAACCATCCTGTCGTCTACTCTCCCTCAACAAGGAGATTTAGACTGAATATATGGAAAAAAAGTTAAAAGCACGAAAAATATTAAACACAAAAGTCTCCTGTGGGAAAAACGATTGGAAAAAAAAAAGTATTAAAATGACCCAAATAATATAGAAAGAGCCAAGCAGAAGAACACAAAAAGAGTTATGATCATGTAGATGCTCGCCTGAACAACACAACTTGTGTGCGCGCACACACACACACACTGTCAAGAGAACACAGAAGAAGTCTTTGATGTTTCCTCATGAGTGTGTGTGTGTGTGTGTGTGTGTGTGTGTGTGTGTGTG